GAAATCAGAGAGCAAACAGAAAGAAGATCCCAAACAACTTGATTGTTCAAGGAATTTAATGGAAAAGAACCGGTGGCTGTCCTCGGTTCTGGTTCTGGACTCTCATCATGTGACTTTGGACAAGCTGCTTCATCTCTACTGGCCTTATTTTCTACTTTCTCCTACTTTTCTTTTTCTACCTCCTTTGGGTTCTGTCCCAGAGAGATTAGGCAGAAGCATTTTGAAGAGCTCTACAGAGCTTCTGTAAATCCCAAAATGGTGTAATGATGAAAATGGTTTGGAAAGGATGATGTCTCCATGGCTCTCCAGAGTGTTCTTCACATGGTTCTGGCCATCTTGGGGAGTTGTGCCTTGAGTACTGTTGTGTGAATTTTATAACATGAGCAATACTTAGGTAAGTGGGGCTAGGACTACTGCTATCACTATTAATACAGGAACCTAGGAGGTCCCTTTTTATCTGTGGCTTGTGTTGTGGTCCTGTAGCTCAGCTCACCAAGGAAAGATATCAAGAAATGATGGATTTGGGGACTTGCTAAGTATTTCTGGAGAAGAGGGTGAGGACCTGGAGTTTGTCTGAGTGCAACATAGGTGGAAGCTGCTGTATGATCAGAAATCAGTTCCTGAATATGTTTCAGCCTTTTCCATTAGCTTCGCTTGGGTACTTCATGTTTTGCTCTCAAGCCTCTCTCTGAGCTACCAAACAACAGGGAAGAGATGGAGAAATAGTAGTCTGTCCTGTCTTTGCCCTGATTTGGTATGATCAACAAATGATATCCAGGGATTTGCTTGAATGGAATTCTTCAAAGTGATCAAGAACCTCACCACTCCAGGGTCTTTTACTTCCCTCCTCCTCTCCCAAATCATACTGTGAAGGATTTTTATTGTTATGTGGCAAGCACAATTTTGAATGTGTGCAAATTTTCTATAAATCACACTCATTTTTCTCCTTCCTATTCAGCTCCTAAGGAGATAATTCATTGCAACAAATTATCACTTTTAATTGTTCTCAGCACCAACTTGTTTAGTACATGCTGTTGCCAATTATTGCCTGCCTTCTTCAAACAGTCCAACCTGTGTTTTAAGCCCAGACTCAGGTTTTGTTTTTTAACATAGCAAATGTAATTGCCTCGAGGGGGAAAAAGCCACTTAAATGTATAAAATGTTCATTAGCACTGTAGGGAACCCAACACTAAATTCTGCTGTGGTTGCTCTTCCCCTTCCCCCTCTTCGCCATTATCACCCCTTTCACTGCCTGACAAAATCCTTAGCTTGACTGTCTCCAGACATCACTGCCATATCACTGTCCTCCTCTTAGCAGGGGGATGGAGCTTCTTAGGGGAGCCCCCGCTATCTCCCAATGGGTGGGATATGTATATTCCCCTTTGCCACATTAAAGACCACTGCTGATGGGGTTTCTGCCTCCACCCAAACAAGCCCAGCTTGAACAGCTCTGGAATGATCTGAGGCCTATTTCTCTTGGGTTGTAGGCTCACACTTTTCTTGGAGTTTAAGCCAAAATACTCTCTTCCTCCTCTTGTCAGACCAGAATATGAATTTTCTGTTCTTTCTGGAGTTGTGTCAGGTCAGGTCTGGCACAAGGGAGAAGACCTTGATCATCCTTCATGATTCCTTCTTATTCAAAGATTATAGGCAGGCACCTCTGCCACTACCCCGAGCTCAGCTTCTAATAGCATTTTTTTTTTCTCTTGCAGCAAAGTCTCTTTAAGATGGATATAGAGAACTGCAATGGCCGCTCGTATATGTCTGGTATGTCCTCTAATTTGTTCTGCTTCTAAAGAGCTGGGAGTAACCCTCCTTTGTCTTAGAGGAGTCACCTTGGATAGTAGGGTCTTCAAAACTGCTTGCCAAAGGTCTAGCCTGGTAGTGATTGCTTCCTTATTTTATTTCTGAGATCAATCGTAATTCCTATCCTTAGATTTTCTGTGTATGTAAGGAGAGGAGAAAAGGTACCGCCCAGGTTGGGGATATGGGCAAAGAGGAAAGGCATGGTTCTCACCGGTTAGCTCCTACAAGCAGATAAATGGAAAAGATGCTGGATTCCCTTTGTCTTCTTCTGAGGTCACTGGACTTCTTTCGTTGCCATTTAAATCAATCTATCAGTAAGAATTTATTAAACACCTGCTGTGTGTCAAGTACTGTGCTAAGTGCTGGAGATACAAGTACAAAAGGTTGAATGATGATAGCCAGGTAAGAAATATATCTGCTTCCCATCAGACAATCGGGGCAGAGAGCCTGACCATAAGCCCCACCCATGATCCTAAAGAAATGTGGTTTTTCTTGCCTGAAGATATTCTTAGTAGGGTAGATGGAGAGCCTTTGCTTTTAGTATGATTTTCAATGATGCAGAAATAACCACAGGCTTCCCAGACTTAGACACAGTAGGTGGAAAATGGGGACCTTTCTTCAGCCTCTTTTTTTGTTTGTTTTTTGTTTTTTGTTTTTTTAGGCAATTGGGGTTAAGTGACTTGCCCAGGGTTACACAGTCAGCCTCTTTTTTAAAAGATGAGTGTAAAGGGGCTGAAACCCAGGTTTTGTTTCTAGGACTCAAGGATTCATGATATTGAATCACTGGAATAACAAAGAATTTAGTTAAGGGGAATGAGGCCAGGAGCAAGTTTTAGAGTCATGAGTTGGTCCCTTCAGGAATTTGGGCTACACTGTAGAAAGAAACCTGTATCTCCATTTCACCCCAAAAGGGGCTAGTGTAGAAATTGATGGGATGAATCAAGGACTGGGAAAAAAAATAGGATAGGCAGGAGGCCAGCTTGAGATTTACTGGTAGCAGTGAAATGAAGTAAGATTTAACTGAGGACATTTTTAAGCTGATGCTTATTTCTCACCATTCTAGACCTACATTTAAGGAAGGGAGGAGGGCCTAACCATATGAAGAATCAACTGATAGCTATTGACAAAGTAACAGGAAAGAGATTGCTTTGGATAGAAGAAACCTAGCTTGAGCCTAATGTCATTCTCCTCCACAAGTATCTGAATCTTCTAACCTCCTGCTTCTTGCAGTCAAGGACCCAGAAATACAAATGCATCCTCCTTCATTGATGCTTCTTTCCTTGAGCATCCAGCATTATAGCTAACTTTATCATTGTTACGTATTCCTCCCCTCAGAGTAATAAAGGAGAAACCAGGAAGGTGACCATCAAAGGTCTACCTCCCAGGGAATCCTTTCAGTTCCCAGTGGAACCTCTAATAGCCACATACATTCAAGCCTAGGGACTCTTTCACTGCTCTGAAGCAAGCTTTTCTTGCTTCGTAAACAGGTTATAGTTTCCTTGTAGAACCAAAAAACAGGCTTCTACTCCAAATGATTCTTGAAAAAGAAATGGACAGGCCAAAGGCACCTCAGCTATGCCTTGAGAATATTCACCTGGTATTTCTGGGTGGTAGCTGCTATGGAATGGGACTGGGAAAAGAAGAAGAGGGATAACAGCTGATAGGATAACATAGTGGACCTCAAAGATATCATCTTTCTGTCGGAATAGGGAGACTTCTCTGCCTAGAAGCTGTCTGGGAGCCTATCAGCCATCCTTCTTTCTGAGAGGTTTCTGAGAAGCATTGAGGATTGACTGCGTCATTGTTTACAATACTAGCCTCAACTTTAGATCACGACTTTAGTCATATGTGTCTGAGCCAAATGAACTTTCCCTAGCCTGGTCAGTTGATGAGTAAATGGCATGATGTCTTATTACTAACCTTGACATTCTCCAGAAGGAAAAATGAGCAATTCTGCCCCTCTTAATGTTTAACTCTCAGGAAATTCTTTCTCTCTACCTTCTGTCTTTCACTATGTACAGATTGCTTCATCTGGATAAGGAGAATCCACATAGGTTCCATTCCTGTCCACATTTTACTTTAAGAGGAAACTGAGTATCTCAAACTTATATATCAGGAAATCTATCAGTCATTACTTAAAGCCTTCAGGAATAGCAAAATGTTTGGGAAATCTCAATAAAAAGGGACCCAGGGATAGGTAGTGCAGTTCCCTTTTTTTTTTTTTACAGTGGACTCTGCCTCTCAAATTCCCAGTCCCTTCTACCCCCAAAATCTTTACTCTCAAAATCAGAGAATCTAGTCTTTCAAAGTAGGTCAGCACTAAAGTGAGCAGCTCCGTTGGAAGGGAGCAGAGCTGAAGCCTCAGTCTGCTAGAAGACTGATTCCTTAGGGGAAGGGGATGGCACAGGGGCCCCAGAGGTCAGTGTTGGGGAGGAAAGGCAAAGAAAAATGGTATAGACGTATTTAGCTGGGCCCGGTGGTTTTATGAATTCACAAAAGTAGGTTGGGTACCTAAAAGAGCATAGGACAGCAGAGCAGAACGTGCCAGTAGCCAGATCCAGAATGTACTTGGTCCCCTCAGGTGCTGGGAAAGAGGGCTTTGTCTTCACCAGTCCTAAAGAAAAAAACCTCCCTTCTGCTGGAGGAAAAATAGGGATGGGGCTGCCCATGTTTGTTGCAGGGAGTGGCTTTGGCCCTGTCCTGGAGCCTCAGCAGCTGCTCTGTGTCCTAGGCTCTATGGCATCTGGGGCCTTAGCTTCCCTAGCTGGTAAAGGACTGCCTGGCCTGCCTCTGGTGGCCCCCTTCAGCCCAGCAGCTCCCCCGCTCCCTCCTGCCTTGCACACACTCCTTGGATTCTCAGGTATTTGTTGAGTAGTTGTTCTTTGTCTGCTGGGCACGAGGGCATCTGCTTCCCCCCGCCCTCTCAGCCCTCCTTGCTGCCTTGGGAAAAATGTTTTAGCCTCAGCGCCCTCCATTCTCTCTTACTAGCCCTTTCCCCAGTCATACATAGACACACACTCCCCCCAAGCTGAGCCCTTCTTGCCAGCTGCAGAGGTGGGCCCCTGCTCACCGAGCTGCTTGCTGCTGGTGCCTATGAAATGACGGCGGTTCCCCTCACTTCCAGGAATCCATGCTTCCTGGAAGGTGAGTGGCTGGGCTCACCCCTGCCTGCCACCCAGACGCAGACATGCACACACCACCCGCTCTCCAGCACCGTTTCCAAGGCGGTGGCTTGCGCTTGCACCTTGGGGTCTCACCAGCAAGGGAAGGATAATGTAAGTTCAGGCAGGAAGTGGACAGAGGGAGGGGGAAGGGGGTTGCTGGGGCTAGGGAGCCAATTCAGAAACAACTCCCAAGCCTGAGGAAAGGGAGAGGGGTAGAGAGAAGGGAGGAGGGAAGGGGGAGGGGGCGTTCCTTGCTATGCTTGCCAAGGATGGGAGAGGGCGTTTGGCGTTGCTAAGCAAAGACAACGGCTTGAGCCGCCTGAGCTAGTGGTGACATCTCGATTAGGCCTTGGGGACACAGATGGAACTGCCAGGGGTAAAATGCCAAAGCAGGCCTGGGTTGGGATAGGGGGAGATGAGAGGGAAGCTGGTTAGAGGGAGTAGAGACTCAGCCCAGATGCCTTAGGTTCCCAGCCATGTCCCCACAGTGGGTGTGGGTGTGGGGAGTAGGGAGCCTTACTTTGCACTTGGCATTTACCTTGCTCCTCTGGAGCAGGCGGATTTCCCCTATCTAAGCCCCTTTGCAAAGAAAGATATGCCAAAGTCAAGGCCCTGGTAGAGAAATGTGAGGATTCAAGATTCTCTTTAATTTCCTGACTGCTTCTTAAGAGCAGATACCATTGGAGGTGAATCAGGGAGAGAGGAAGGCTAGAATACAGTACTAGCCTTCCCTGAATGCAAAACATACATAACCTGTGGGCTTATACATGTTTCCTGTTTTCCCTGGTCCTAAGGCCTCATGGTTTACCTCTGATGGCTAAGAAGCCAACCTTGCTGTGATAAGCTTGGCCAGGAACATTTCTCTGGAATATGAAGATAGCTTCAGCTTGATTGGTTTGGAGTTTCCCAGAAACTTAGGATATTTGAAATTCCCTCCCCTGAGCTTCTGATACCTTGAGGTGATCTGATGAATTTCCCAAGGCTAGCTCCTGTTCCATCTACTTCCTAACTAGGATTCAAAGTCCATGGGTTTTCCAGATTGATTTCTAACCCCTGAAACTAATTGTTTCAGGTAATTAACCCTGCAAAAGTTAATTTGACTATATAACAATCTTCTGGTACTCACCAGGGAAGAAGTGGATGAGAATATTCTTTCTCTCACTTTCATCCTAGAGAGAGCAGCCCTATCCAAGGGTTTCATGAACTGGCACCACCTGGCTATTAAAGGAATGCTCTTTCTCATGCTCCTAACATCCCTCCCCCAGCGAACAATTATCTAAGGGAACACAGAGTCAGAGCCAATGACTTTTCACCAAGAATCCAATGACATTTCCTAACAAGTTCACTAATCTTTGTGGAGTCAAACCCCATATCTCTCTTCTTTTCCTATCAAGTTACTTAGGACAGTTTCATATTAAGTAAATAAATAATTTGTTAGACATAGTGTCTTGGAGTACAGAAGCTGTTTTGATTTCACCTTTTTCCCTACCTCTTAACACTGTCTGGCCATATGGTAAATGCTTAGTAAATGCTTGTTAATTTATTTTAAAAGTTAAGACAGATCCTTTTTTATCCTTCCTCTCCCCAAATTGTGTATAATGCCTCACTTAATTAAGGGAGTCTGAGGATGAGGTGAGGACCCACCAGCCCACAGCTTTGTATAGATGTGGTTGTGGTCTTATCTAACATTCTCAAGATACATAACCCATCCCAGAAGAGGGAATTGAGTCTTGGACTATGAAGCATTTCTTAAAAGATCTAAAGAAAAGAAAGGTAAAAGAAAAGAACTCATTTGTTTGGCACATTAAAGTTTACAAAGCTCACAACAACCCTGTGAAATAAGTTAAAGCCTAGGAACCTCCAAAAGTTGAGTAGAGAATGGAAAGGGGGACTTTGATGAAAGAAGATCCTGAGTGATTATTTTCTCTCCATTGACTAGAGCAATATAAGGATCTCTTACAGGGATAGTCCTTGAATTTCTTACCTTGTGAGTAGGGATGGATGGTCCAAATTCTGGCCTCTTTAGAATTCAATCTTTATTTTCTGAGATCAAGTCTCTTTACTATAAGATATCTGGATAAAGCAATAGCTGGCTTTCTAGACTGGGGATGTTACAAGCTCTCTATGCATGTCTGTGTAACAGGTGTCTGTACATGTCAGTATAAGCATGGAACTAGGTCCATTCATATCTGTCTGAGTATGTTTATCTGCACATATCTGTAACATGTATGTATGTCTATGTATGGATTAGTAAGAATTTATCAACTACTTCCTATGTACAAAAAGGTGGAGGTAATATGGAAAGGGAGGATTCTCCTCCTTTGCCCCCAAATTGACATGATCTTTCTCTTCAGAGAACCATATAATCTAGTTGAAAACACTCGAGACAACAAAAGAATACTTATATAAAGCAACATAATCAATCAGCAAATCCCAGTGAATAGACCATAATACAAAGTGAGGGTGCAAGTGCTGCAGGGACACTAAATAGAAGAGTGAGCAGAATCAGAAGGAAGGCATCCTGGAAGAGGCGAGTTGTGGAATTTGGATGAGTCTGTGGCTTAAGAAAGATGGAATTTTTGCTCTAGCCCCTGCCTTAAGAGATGGCCTGCCCATCATCTCCTTTGAGATGCCTTCCCTTGATTGGGTGGTATGTGTGGTAGCACCTGGAGAACACTACAGCTGGTCTTCCCAGAAGATCCAGTAGGTGCCTTTGGGGCCTGCTGAGGCCCCTCTTTGTCTCCTTTCCCCGGCTCTCCAGGCCCCAGTCCCACTTCGCTTCCTGTGGGTGTCAATTGATGATGCTGTTCTTCCCCTCAGCCTTATAAAGCAAGGTAGAGAGGGCCCCAGCCGCCCTGTTTCCCTGAAGTCTGAATAGTGCACATGTGGCTCTCTTCTCAGTGCTTAGGGACAGGAGGACGCAGTGAGTGCTTTCCCCATTAACCTTCTTCTGCTTTGCTTCCCTAAGGTAGCGGGGACTCTTCTCTGGAGAAGGAGTTCAGTGGGGCCCCAGTGGGGCCCACTGTGAGCACCCCAAATAGCCAGCACTCTTCACCCATCTGTTCGCTCAGTGGTGAGTATCAGTCCCTCATTCCCACCCCCAACCCCAATCTTATCCCATTTACCTTCGGTTCCCTGTTTATCTTTTGTTAGGGACTTTCCCTATCATTATCTTTTATCCGGTTTCCATACCTCTTTAAGAGCACTGGGGAGCCCAGTGTCCTAGGTTCCTCTGGTTTCTGGAAGGAGAATGGTTAGTCACAGTCAAGCAAAAATGAAGTTAAACTAGGTATAGGTGGGGGGTGGGGGACATGCAGTATGAGCAGAGAAATAGGAGCCAAACAAGTTGAAATTCTGAAGAAGCTTGTTACTTCTAGACAAATAGAAAGGGTGATAAGGTGTGGGAAGCTGGCAGAGGGTAGAGGGCCCTCCCTATTCACCCTCACTGTCCTGCTCAGGTGGGGTCCTTGTGACTGCCCCTCCCCAGCAGGCCTTGGATCTGTGACATTCTCGAAATGATTGGAATAGTCAAGAATGTAGGTCAGAGCTAAAGTCAAAGCTCTTTCTCCCACAGACAGCTCTTTCTTTCACCCTCCCTGCCATTAGCTTTATTGAGAAGAGGAATGGGTAGAGGGTAGGAGGATAAACTGGGTCATATATGTTCTCCACCTATGTTCCTTTCTTCCCTTGTTCTCCAGCCCACCTACATCTTTCCGGACCCCACCAAACCCTCCCAAGACCATCTTACCACCAATGTCTCTGGTTGGCTTTTTGCCTAGGGCTGAATCAGACATCTTGCTTAATGATAGAAAAGTTGAAAGGAATTCCATCTCCACCAACACACACACGCACACTTCTTATTCTAGTAAGAGAAGACACCCTACCAACTCACAATCTTTTCACTCTTGAAGCCTGATTACCCAGTGGGTGGATTGGATAGAAAAAGATATTCCAGGCCTCAGCAGGACTGGGTGCCCCTCACCATGGCTACTGCATCCTAGATACTGGTCCTTCTTGAATTCTCAAAAGTCTGGCCAGTTTTTTTCTGTACTGGCCCTAAATTGTTCCCCCTCTTTGCTTGTCCTTGTCCTAACTAACAAAACGTTCACCTCCCAGGTAATTCCATCAAGGTGGAGATGTACAGTGATGAAGAGTCAAGCCGGCTGCTGGGGCCAGATGATCGGCTTCTGGAAAAGGAGGACAGTGTGATTGTAGAAGACTCGCTGTCTGAGCCCCTGGGTTATTGCGATGGGAGCGGCCCAGAGCCTCACTCGCCTGGTGGCATCCGGTTGCCCAACGGCAAACTCAAGTGTGACATCTGTGGTATGGTCTGCATCGGGCCCAATGTGCTTATGGTACATAAGCGCAGTCACACGGGTGAGCAGAAACAGGGCTCCTGGGGAAGGCTTGGAGTAGGGTTGCAAGTGGGAAAAGGAAAGTGTTTCTTGGGATATTTGCGTAGATGGTAGCTGTGAAATAGCTAAGGAGTTACTCAAGGAAAAGCATTGATCAGCAAGGTTGCTAGGGGAAGCCACAGTGAGGGGCGAGGTTGAGGCAGGAAAAGAACGAGCTCTCCCATGACTTATTTCAAACTGGCAGGAAGGGGAACTTGGGCTCCCAACCTCACTTGCTCCTTGTCGGCACCTGTCTCATTTATCACAATGAGGAGGTGGTGATAGGAATTGTTCCCATGAGGTTTGGGGGAGGTACTGTGTTGAGACCTCAAGGAGTGTCCTTGGGTAAGCTAAGATTGGGATTCCTGGGTACTGTTTCTAGTTCTTACAACCCCTCCTAGGGCCTCCGTTCTCCCCTTCTCCCTTCTATTTCCCCTCCCCCACCTCCATTAATCTCTTCTCCAGAAATGGACATATGATTTCACTTCAGTGCTTGCCCCTGGCTTCTAGGACAGAGGAGGTAATTTGGAGCTCAGACGTAGATTAAAGCCTAAAGGCCATCTTGTGCCAATGCCCTTGGAGTGAGACACTGGACTGTCTCTCCCCCTTCCTCCCACAAATGCCTGGCACCTGTCCCTGCACCATTACACCATTGCTACCCTGAGAGAGACTACCCCAAGGAGTAACTAGATAAAGCAGGAATTCCTAAGGCACAGTCCTGCCTGGCACCATAGACCCACCTTGCCTATTAGAGAGGTGTTCTGAGCCAGTTAGGTGGGGGATCGAGTCTGGCCTTAAAAACCCTCTCCCTCCCCTCCCCTCTGGGGTCTGTCTCCCTTGCAGGTGAGAGGCCCTTCCACTGCAACCAGTGTGGTGCCTCATTCACCCAGAAGGGGAACCTGCTGCGTCACATCAAGCTGCACTCAGGGGAGAAGCCCTTCAAATGCCCCTTCTGCAACTATGCCTGCCGCCGGCGAGACGCTCTCACTGGCCACCTCCGCACCCACTCCGGTCAGTGAGCCACAGACAGGGGAGTGAAGGGAGGGAGGGTTGCACCTTGGAACTGCCTACTCTCCTCCAGCCCCAGTCCCACTCCACACAAGGCCCTCTGGCTCAGTCGACTAACATGGAATCCCAGCCATACAGAAGACATAGGAAGTATGCTCTTTGTTTTTAGAGAGCTATAATTTAGTTGGGGGAGAAAGGAAGTAGCAAAGCTTGAAAAAAAAGAACCCTTAACATTTACAAAGTTGATGGTGCCTTGTATCTTTGCCCTTAACCTCCTAATCCACAGAGCCCTTGTGGGAAATTTCAGGGGATATTTAGCAGGACATTTAATGTCTACATGAACTATGCAGAGGAGCAAAGGGGAATAGGAGGCAATGGTGGTGTCTCTTAGCTGGTGCCAGAGCCATCTGTTCCCCATTACATCCCCACTTCTGAGCCCTGGGGAAACCCATCCTCCCACCCCACTTGTTCCAACTCTAAGCCCCACAAGTGTAAAGAGGCCCAGCCTTTGGTTCTTTAGGCTTTGACTGAGGATGTAGGGATGATTCCTAGACCTTCTCCCCCATTCTTTCCTATTTCCCATAAAGGGCCTTCTCCTTTGGAAGGGAAAGAAAGCAGGTAATCCACCCACAAGTTTCTGCCTCCTTCCCTCTTCTTAGGGCAAGGGCTCAGGATCTGGAATAAATTGACTAGGGCCAAGCTGACGATATTGCTCAGCCCAGCCTAGATAGGTGTTCACTATTGTGTGAATCCAGGGAGCACATAGCACTTCCCAGCCTCCTCCTTCAGTGTGCAAAAGATGAGCTGTTGAGAAGGTTCTGGGCAGCCTTTCCCTGAAAATCTTCTTGATGTTATTCTGTTCTCTAAAACTCATGGGATCGGGATCGGGGTAGGGGTGAGGGGAGGAATATGAGAGAAATACATTTGTCATTTCGCCAACCCAACAGCTTCCTCCTTGTTCTTTCTCCAGGCCTCTGACTCTTCATAGCTCTCCTTCAGAGCTGGGTGGGACCTTTCCACTGCAGGGGTGGGGCAGTAGAGACAGACCAAATACTCCCTTCCCTAACTTCCTAATCCATCCGCTACATGGATACAAAGCAGCTACCCAGTGCCCCTTGGATCCTGTTTATTTCCCCCACCCAGGGAGGTCTGCTGACTCTTAGCAGTGAGTGGGGCTTAGGCTTGAAATGGGAAGGAGGAGTGGGGAGCCTCCCCCTGCTGGTTTGAAACAGGTTGTTTGGGCTCTAGGCTTAGGGACTGCTCACCGAAGGGGTGGGATAGGCTGGGGAGGGGTGCAGACACTTTCTCTTGGGAGATGGGTGACTGGTGAGCAACAGTAGAAACAGATGCTTTACAGGGTCCAGCTCTGTGGGACTGTGCCTTCTCTACCCTAATGCCAGCATGTTCTTCACAGTAGCCAAAAGGGTGGCCTTCCCCCAGGCCTGAGCATGTTGCCCTTGGCCTGGATGGTGAAACCAGGGGCCATCTCAGGGATGGTTTGCATCTCACCCTCAAATGCCAACATTTCTGGAGTGAGACCAGAACAGCTGCAGACCGGCCGCAGGCACCTTTCCCTCACTGTGGGAGAGACCCAGCTTCCTAGAGATGCTTTTTCCTAGCTTCCTGATGACCTTTATTCCCTCTTCCGTCATGGCGTGCTCCCCGTTTACAGTGCTCTCGTTGTGTGTATTGCTTTCCTGCCTCTGCTTACGGCTTTGCACCCGTTCATGTAAGGCTTTCCATGCTTCCCTGCATTCTTCCTGTTCATCATCTATTATAGCACAGTAACATTCCATTACACACAGTCACAAAAGTTCACAGTTTCTTAAATAAGCCTCCTCCCCCTGCTCACACACCCTTCTCCTTCTCCACCACCCTTACCCTTCAGCTCTAAGCTCCCTGGGGTTCTTTTTAAGGATAGGGCCTAGACTTATGATTTCAATGACATAGGGAACTTTCAGGTAAGGAAATCGCCTCTACCAGTGCAGGCTGGAATATACTCTACATGGCACATAGAGTCTTAGAGAGCTGCCTAGAGCATTGAGGGGTTAAGTGACATGTCCATGGTCACAATGCCATATGTGTCAGTGGTGGGACTTGAACTCAGGTCTTCTTGAAAGCTGAGGTCAGCTTTCTATCCATAATGCCATGCTGCCTCTTTAATGGAAACTCTAATACCTGATATTCCTAATATTCCTTCTGCCTCTCCCATAAGAATGTTAATGTTTAGCCTTTAAAAAGCAAATTAACCAAAACAACTATGTTCTCTCTCATGGGGTAAAGAATCATGTTCTTTTTTCATATTCTTTTTCTTCTTTGTACTTTCCTTTCTTTTAAACCCTCATTCTCTTTTTCTCTTCTCCTTTCCCAGTTCAACCTCAGTATCTATTAAGGACATATCTTCTTGAAGCCCTTGATATTTCAGAAGGGGATCAGTATCTAGAGACAGAGAAATACTGTACAGGAAGTTCAGGCTAGAAATGGAAGCCAAACTAGGAATGGGGTGGAGTGGGAGCTAACTCCCCCTCGACCCCCCATAAGTCCTGAGGGCTCTTGGTTCATTGCCACCAGCCCAACATTTTTCCCCTTATCGAAAGCAAAAGGTGCGTAAGCAAGAAATCCCCTTTTCTGATAAACAGCCGCTCTCAACCGTCCGCCCCATAGAAAGGTTAAACCACAGCCTGGGGCCCAGGTTCTGATGCCCTGGGGTGTGGCTAGCCTGCCTGCCAAGGGACTTGTCCCTGTCCTCCCAACAGCAGCAGCTGGCCACCAACTCCAAGCCTGTGCTAACTGGGAAAAGGGTCCCTTCTCTCTCCTCCACCTCTCCTCAATCATCCTCACCCACAGGCATGTGTTTGCCTTTAGCAGGTAGAGAAAGTGAAGGTATGAAGCCAAACTTAGGGTCCTCTCCATGCCAGATGTTGAGTGCTTGTTCTTTGCCTTTCCGTGGAGCATCAGTGACCCTCGTACTATTTCTTCCCCCATCCTATCCCCATCCCCAACTCTAGTCTCCTCCCCGACGGTGGGCAAGCCGTACAAGTGCAACTACTGCGGCCGGAGCTACAAGCAGCAGAGTACGCTGGAGGAGCACAAGGAGAGGTGCCACAACTACCTGCAGTCTCTCAGCACTGAAGCCCAGGCTCTGACTGGAGCACCAGGTGGGCCACAGGGAAAGCTACGAATGGCAGGGAGAAAGCAAGGTGCTGGTCAGTGTCTCCCTGAGCACAAGCCAGGCAGTGTTCTCAGTCCAGTACTCTAGGGGGTAATCAATGTCAGGGAAGATGCCCGGCACCACCCTCCCATCTTGAGCAGCCTCTCGGGTGCAGAGCCTTCTATGCAGTAGGTGCAATGGGGAGAGCTGGGGCAGGTCCAGGTCCAAGGGTGCCCTGGACCCTTTGGGGAGTGATTGGTGAAGACCATGAACCCCTTTGTAGGATAATGCTTTTAAATATACGAAATAACATACATAAGATTACAAAGGAAACCAATTATATTGAAACACAGTGATCAAAACTTTTTTTGAAATAAGACCGTAGACCCCCAGTTAAGAATGCCTGAACTAGAGGAAGGAGACATAATCCTTACCCTTAGTCCAATGAGGGAGGCAGATAAGCTCCAGACAGAAGATGAGCACAAACTGCCTGGGGGGTTGGACGAGGCCACCTCACCGAAGTGAGGTTAGGGCAAGCAAGACCCTGACAGCTTCTAGTCACTCGGTCACTGTCTCACTTAGTTTTCTGGTCCTCAAAGCTCCGTGGAGCATGCTACTCCTATGCTTCTACTACTCCTCCTACAATTCTGTCCCAGACTGACCCTCCCCTCTGACATCCTGCTCCCATGTCTTTTCCAGGTGATGACATGCGTGACCTAGAGATGGTGCCAGACTCCATGCTACTACACTCGTCCTCTGAGCGGCCGACTTTTATCGACCGCCTGGCCAACAGCCTCACCAAACGCAAGCGCTCAACCCCCCAGAAGTTTGTAGGTAAGACACTCAAATGAGTGGAAGAGGTGGGGGGAGGGTTGCGAAAATTATAGGGACTAGTTCTCTGTTCCCAAAGCCCTTCTGAATCATTGGAACCTGAGATAATGAAAATAATAATAATCATAACTATCGTAGTGCCTTAAGGTTTGCATGGGTTCATGGCTCACCTGCTATAGCTGTGTCTTTCTTCCTTTTCCTCCTGCACCAGCTCTAAGAACAGTCTTCCACCCAGCTCTGCTCCTAAGGCAGCCATATCTAGATAGCACGGTGAATAGTGTCTTAGAGTCTGCCAAGGATCAGAGCCAGTTGGGCATGCCTCAGGGACCAACTGGCTCTGATCCTTGGCAGAGCCCTTGACCTCTCAGTGCTCCAGGAAGCACTCTCAGACTGTGAACCGTAGAGCAGATGAATGCCTGCATTGGGAGAGAGGGAGCTTCCTCACCTGGAAGGGTCCCGTACCTATAAATCGCAAGGTCCAGTCACAATGCCCCAAGGTTTGCAAAGCATTTGACATCTGTTATCTCATCTGGTTCTCACAACCCTTCAAGGGAGGGGTGATTATTATCACCATTTTATAAATGAGGAAACCGACTGTGAAGGTAAATGGCTTGCCCAGGGTCACACAACTAGCAAGTGTCTGAGGCAGGATTTGAACTCAGGTCCAGCATTCTTTCCACTTGCCAGAAGTGTCAAATACTCAGAGGCCTGAAACAGATTAAAATGTAGTTGGGAAATATTTAACACGATAAATAACAATACACCAGAACCAAGATGATGTTAGTATGTGGTTTTTCTCAGTCAATACAGGGCTGACAGGGATCTTTCTGTATGGGTTAGTGGCCCTGTCTTTGGACACAGCCCTTCACGCCCTACAGATAGCTGCCATGAGAACAGAGCTGTCTAGGAGGAGTCCGTGTCTGAGGTTGCCATGGGTGGAAAAGAGAAAGAACAGAATAACTGGAGCAGGAAAGAAGGATGTCAGGCTTCCCTGGGAGTGTCCCAGCAGTCAGGAATGAAAGAGCATCTCCTTCACCAGCCTTTGACATAGGAGCAGAGCTGGTCCATCTGTGTCCTGGCCCCCCAGGGTCCCAGAAGGTGGAGGGCGGCTCACTTATCTTACAGGAGGGAGTTGGACTACATAATCTCCAATGGTCCTTCCGGCTGTAAATCCCATGATCCTTTGATCCTAGGAAATAGTCTGCACTGATAACCCCAGCTTGGATCCTAGACTCTGATTTCAGCAAGGACCCCTGTTGAGAGGGTCCTGAACTCTCATGGGTAGCATATCTGGAAGGTGGGCCAGGCCTCTATGGGCCTGAACAGAGAGGGTGGTGCACAAAGAAGTGCCACCCTTTGGGGGGTCTCCTGCTTCGGGAGCTCAAGGGCTTTCTCTTTCCCCGCAGGTGAGAAGCAGATGCGCTTTAGCCTCTCTGATCTCCCCTTTGACATGAATTCAGGTGGCTATGAGAAGGACGTGGAGCTGGTTGCACACCACGGTTTGGAGCCTGGCTTTGGCTCACTAGCCTTTGTGGGTGCAGAGCACCTGCGCCCACTTCGCCTCCCACCTGCTAATTGCATCTCAGAGCTCACTCCTGTCATAAGTTCTGTCTACACCCAGATGCAGCCGCTTCCTGGCCGACTGGAGCTGTCTGGAACCCGGGACGCCAGCGAGGGGCATGAGGACCTGGCTGATGGGGGCCCCCTCCTCTACAGGGCTCGGGGTCCCCTGGCTGACCCTGGGGTCTCCCCCAGCAACGGCTGCCAGGATTCCACAGACACAGAGAGCAACCATGAGGAACGGGGTGGGGGGGTTGTAACCACCCCTCAGTGTCCCTCAAATCAGCCAGCCCCTGCTCTGGTTGTGGGGAGCCGGCCCAGCCCTGCCTACGCCAAAGAGGACCCCAAGATGCAGGAGGGGCTCCCCCGGAGTGCTCCTGGCCCTGCCAAGGACGTGTTGCGGGTGGTGGGTGAGGACGGTGAGCCAGTGAAGGCCTTCAAATGTGAGCACTGCCGAATCCTCTTCCTGGACCACGTCATGTTCACCATCCACATGGGCTGCCATGGCTTCAGGGACCCTTTTGAGTGCAACATCTGTGGCTACCACAGCCAGGACCGGTACGAGTTCTCCTCCCACATTGTCCGAGGGGAACACAAGGTGGGCTAGTGATCTCTGGCCTCCCCTCCACCCCAGCCCTTCCTGTCTTCTCCTCCTACCTTCAGAGGTGTCCAGCCCTCCCATCTCACCCCTGCCCCCCACTGTCCACTTTTCTACCCGACGAAGTTTTGCTTTTGTAGCCTGTCACACAGACGTAATCTCTGGCTGCCTGATTTCACACTTGACTCCTCACCATTTCTGCCCTCTCCTTTCTGCAAGTTGCCAAGCTGATTTATTTAAGCACTATGATGAAACAGGTCTTTTGTTTTGATTCTTCCTTTTTTTCAACCCCTATGCCTCCCCAAGTTCACACTAAGTTATTTAGGAAGATTATTAGATGAAGGGTTTTTGCCCTCTAAGAAAAAGTCTATCAGACACCTGCCATTCTCCACCCTCATTCTCTTCTCCTGCCCAAGCCTAATTTCCCTTTCCATTCCTGCTTCCTCCACATCCCTAGGACAGTGGGGTGGAGGGGCATGGGCCTACTGCTGTCCCTGATCCTCACCCCTCACGTACACTGCCAGATTCCTCAGTTCTGGTGCCAGTGCCTCCTGGCCCCACCATAGCTCTGTGGCATTATATCTCCTCTCTGGGACACCCCTACCCTGGCACTCCATACCTCTCTGCCCTCTCACCTTGGGCAGCTTGCACTGTTCTTGAATGAATGAATGAATGAAGGATATCCCCCATTTAGGGGGAGGAGAGGGTTGAACAAAATTCACTCCAGGGCACTGTGAGGCTCAGAATCCTCTCACTCGTTCCCCTAATACTATGAATACTCTGAAGCCTACATTTGCACTCTGGATCTCCCACTAGGATGTAATATCCTCTCCCTTCAACCTCACAGGGGCTGTTCTGGTCCTCCAACCAGTCTGTGTGCTCAGTGGTGACTTCCCTCCACTTGGGGCACCCCAATTTGATATCCTCAGGGGTGAAAGCTGGGTCTGCACCTTTTTCTGTCTCTGAAGCATTGGGAATAAAACATCCTCACCAAATTGGAAACAGGGGACAAGGAGAAGATAAGATTCTTCTCTTCCTCTCAATGCTTCTCCAGTTGACTCCCTCACCCCAGAAACCTCTCTAGGCACTCAGGGGCTTTCCCACCATATGAAAAACCAGTTAAGTCTATTGCTGCCTGAAGACAAGGAGGAGACCCAGCTCTTCAGTCTTACTGCCTTCACCCTCCCCAGCAGGGATTACCATCCCATTCTTGAGCTCTGAGGCTCCATCCTCAGGGTCAGTGCTCATAAGAAAGGGATGTTTCTTTCCTCACTTTTAATTATTTCAATATAACCAAAAATGATTGCAGGGTGGGCATGTGCCCCTGCCCCTACCCTACCCCTGCCCCAGGGAGAGTGGGTCCAGCCCATCTGGACTGAGGGCATCCTTCACTGCCCCCATCATGCCTGGTGCCAAGGAAGCAGGGAAGGAGGGATTCATTTCCCTCCTGGTTCCTGAAGCGTGCTTGGCTGTTCTTGTTTGTCTGGGAGGGAGGCAGAGGCCCCTGGGAAGGGGAAGCATCTCTATACACATGGAGTCCCAGCCCAGGGCCACAGCCACCTGGCTCTCTTGCTTCCTTGAGGTTCAAACCAAAGGCTGTTTTGTTTTTCTATGTTAAAAAAAAAACAAAAAAACAAAAACACAAAAACACAACCACCTCACAAGTTGCAACACTTGGTCCTTCTCTCTTTCCTCTCAACCTTTCTCCTCCAACTCCCACCCTCCTCTTCCTCTTTCCACAACTCCTTTCCTCATTGCCTCTTCTGCCTCTTCTCCCTTTTCTCCCTCCTCAGGGATCTCTTAGGGGTCCCCAGGGAAGGATGCTGCAGGGTTGGCCGGGGGGACAGAATCCAGGATTGTGGTACTTGGGCCTCAGAGAGGAGTCTGTCTCACCCTCTTGTGGGGAGGAGATTCTAAAACAGTTTTCTCCTCCTCCTCCTCTGCCCTGAGGTTTGCTTGATGAGACCCAGATAGGTGTAGAGTAGAGCATCATTGTGATGAATCTGTCTGTTCCTCCTGGACAATGTAGCAATAAACAGATGCTGCCAGGGTCAGGGAGGTGGGGGGTAGGGGAACAAAGACAGGAGCAGAGGGGAAGGATGGAAGGGTCTCTAAAGGAAGATTCTTTTCAGGAGGACACTGTTCTCCTACCTCCCTACTCCACTTTGGCAGAGCAGATCTGGACATTGAGCCCCTTTCTACTCCTTGCTTTTCTCAAGTGGGAACTACTACAGTATTTTGCTTGTGATAGTGACTCCCCACAGGGACTATTCCCTCTAGGGAGATCAGAGCCTTAGGGTCCTACCCACATCCTTTCCCCATTCTACTTTGGCAAACCTGTGATCCCCTCACTCCCGAAGATTTAAAACAAAACAAAATAATGTTCTGAGGCTATTGCTATGCCCAGAGAGCAGAGACTTGGGGGCTGGGAGCAAGATAAGACTCTAGGTAGGGGAAGAAGGGGACTCCATCACTTTCCAGATCATCACTGCACTTTAACCAGGGTCTTAAGTACAAAGCCCTACTTCCTCAGAGCCCCTTTGGCTCTGGGACCTCAAATGTGCTCACCCCTCCTCCCAGCTCCTTTTGTTAAAAAAAAAGAAAAAAAAAGAAAAAAAGAAAAGAAGGAAAAAAGGAGAAAAAAAAGAAAAAAAAACCCTGAAACCTATGTGGAAGAAAGAGGTGTTTTCCTTTTCTAACAAAACTCAAAAACAAAACCCTTTCTAAGCAGATACTTTTCCAAACCTTTGGGTTTTTTTTTTTCCATGTCTGTCTCCAAGCTTTGGGAGGGATTTTTGTAACACTCCTAGCAGCTTCTTTCCTTGTGTATATATTATATATATATATTTTTAATCAGACGTTATGATGAACAAAAAAAGAAAAAAGAAAAAAAGAAGAAAGTGCAATACCACCTCTGTCCTCTTTCTTTATCCCAGGGTTTTCATTTGTATCCTAAACTTGGTGTCTTTCTTGATCCCTACCCCCTCTCCCCTTCTTTTTTTTTTTTTTGAGAGTTCTTTCCCTTCTTTCCCTTCTTAAGGGGAGTCAAACTTGCTTTTGAGACTTAACTGCAAAGCGTTTTGTATCTGTAATATATTGTAAGTAAATATTTGTGTAACGAAGAATATACTACTGTAAGTTTTGTACTGTACTGGCTGAAGGTCTGTTATAAAATAAACATGAGTAATTTAACACCTCCTGTCTTTGCAAACTTCCCTTACTTTGCTGTTCTGGAGGGAGGGAGGGAAAAGACTTTATCACTATGTTTTTATTCTGATTCACTTTGTCCTCAGATAATAAGCACTTTGGGTGATGTAACAATAAGAGTTTTGGGAGAGACTAAGCAAGAAATCCCCAAATGAAACTGCCACAGCAAGAGAGGTTGATATTAAATGAATTTCAGGATGGGCTCCATGGCACAATCAAGTTTTAAAATCCTGGGATAGGAGTTGGAGAGACTTGTCATCCCCGGAGTGCTGTCAGAATAGACTTCCTGGTCTTTTCTGCCTCCAGGTAGGAGAACAATTACCTCTGGAAAGCATGAAAATTCACTAAACACGTTTATTAAGTGCCTACTGTGCACCAAGTAGTATGCCAGCTACCATGGGCAATACAATTAAGAATATTAGCAGGAACCTGCTGCCTGAAAGCTTACACTTCAATCGGTAAGGTGGATTTCCACCCTTGGGATGAAATTCCTCTGCTCAACTGTACAAAACCTAGGGTCTAAGAAGATGTGAATGGAGGTATCTTGGAAGAAAGAGGAGGAGGGGGAGAGAGGAGGAGAAAGGAGAAAACTCAAAAGGGAGAAAAGGGCCAGGCTGTGAATGGAGCATTTTATATTTGATCTTGGCAGGGAGAGGGAGCCCCTTAAGTCAATATTGAGTAGGGGGATCTTTTTTCCATGATGGGAGTGGGATGTGCCTATAACTGTTTCATCTTCTGCCTTTCTGTCCTCATTCTTAAAAGAAAAGGAAGCTGCGACCAAGAGGAAGGATTGAGGGAACAAAAGCGCAGGGCGTGAAAGAGAAGCTCTCTCTGCTAGTGTGACCCCGGCTGTGGGGCCCGAGGGCCGTCCCCGAACTACGTCTCCCATCGCGCATGTAGGCTTACCTGCGCATTCAAACTACAACTCCCGACGTGCCCGGAGACACTACAGCTGACTGGTTACAACTCCCAGCAGCACTTCTGGGAAAGCCGAAGTCAGCCTCGCGGAGCCTGTTGGGAAAATAGTTTTACCCGTATTCTTCCACATGTAAAAAAAATAGTCCACCGGGGGTCTTTCTCTGAGGCGAAAACAACCCCAGAAACTCTTTTAACCGAGGAGATGGGTCTCTTAAGTAATAAGGCCTTCTGTTAGGCGAGTTCTGGGATTGGTTTGTCTCCGAGGAGAAACTTTGTCTCCGCGCATGTGTTGGCGCACGGATCTCTAGGTATATAGACGGACGGCGGCGACACCGGATCCTTTTTTGGTTTCTGGCTTCCAAGATGGTGAGGAAGCGGCGTGGGTTTGGGGTGTCTGGTGTTTGGGAAGGCAGGTCCCGAGACTTTTGGAGCGGTGGGGGGGATGGGGAGGTCCCCGGGCCCGTGAAGAAGGGGAGTGGAGGCTCCGGGTTCAGGCTGGCGAGACCGTACGCCGGACGAGGGAGAGAGGATGGGGAGGCCGGACCCGGGCGGGCCCGGGGCGCGGGGAGACGCTGGGCCCGGGTGGTCGGGAGGCGGGGAGAGGCTGAACGCCCGCGGAGAGCCCCTGGCGGGCCTGCGTGACTCTGTCCCCCATCGCCCCAGACCAAGAAGAGGAGGAACAACGGGCGCGCCAAGAAGGGCCGCGGCCACGTGCAGCCCATCCGCTGCACCAACTGCGCCCGCTGCGTGCCCAAGGACAAAGCCATCAAGAAGTTCGTCATCCGCAACATCGTGGAAGCCGCGGCCGTCAGGGACATCTCCGAGGCCAGCGTCTTCGACTGTAAGTGCTGCCGGGGGCCCCGAGCCCGGCCATTGGAGCCAGCCTCCGCCCGGCGCTCTTCCCTAAACGTGCCCAGGTCCTTAGGTCACTGTACTCGTGTAAAAGTGCGCACAGTTGAGTGGGATGGAGAGAGCCCCGAATTGGAAAAGCTTTGGCCTATGGTTTCCTTTCCAGTCCACAATTAGCAGTCTAAGCTCATCAAGGATTAAGATTTTTATTATCCTTAACATCGAGTAAGGTCATCTGTGTGGCTGTTACCCGATACAGACGAATAATCTGAGGATATGGAGTTTGAGACTAGAACAGCAAAGGGGTCCATGTCGAGGCTGTACCTGGGCCCAGCAAAGGGGGTCTGTGTAGAGGCTGTACGTGGGCCCATTTGGGGGGTGGAGGGTGGGAAATGGCCAAATCTGCTAATATTATTAATTTCTGTCTTAAGAGATTTTACATAAAAGCTCTCTAAAGATGTGGCATTTAAATATATTTGTGTATACTTTGGGGTAAGCATGATAACCTCAGGACAGTGCTAATGAGCTTGTTTCTTCACCAGCCTATGTGCTGCCCAAACTGTATGTGAAACTGCATTACTGTGTGAGCTGCGCGATCCACAGCAAGGTAGTGAGGAATCGGTCCCGGGAGGCACGAAAGGATAGGACACCCCCACCCCGCTTCAGACCTGCTGTAAGTCTCTTAACAGGAGAACGAAAAGGAGGAAGGGGGAGAGAGAGTAGAGTCTGCTAGGATTGCTTGGGATTGAGAAGTTTTAATAAGAAAAGGTCCCTGCTCAGGGAGAGATTATTCTAAAGAGGGAAATGAAAAAATGAAAATAAATTTTGAGGGGTCTTTAAAGATACAGGGGGTATGGTTGGAACTAGACTGTGCCTCCAGAAAGTGTTGGAAAAGAGGCTGGGTACTGTTTTATTAATTCCAAAGGTGTCCAGTCACTGGATTTATAATTTATTAATTCTGATTATAGACACCTCTACAAAATTTAACAATTCTTATACTCTGACCAGTAGTATACAAGCAATATATACCCTAAGTGAATTTTTTCCCCTGTTGATGTTTGTGAAAGGATGCTAGACTAAGAAAGGTGTTTGAACTATTTTTGCATTCCATAGTGGGGAAGTGCTTGGAATGACATTGTTCCCATGTTGCTCACAAACTGTCTCATTCTTTTACTTTTGTAGGGTGCTGCCCCCAGACCCCCTCCAAAGCCTATGTAAAGAGCTATCTGCCCATCAACATTCCTGAACTGATCAGAGGAAAATAAAATGGTTGGTCAACCTTATATTGTGCCTAGTGTGTCTGTGGGTTAGGGGAGCATAAAGCCTACCTTTTGGTTTTAAAAAGAAACTTGGTTATAAAAATCAGTGTACTTGGCACAACCTATTCAAGAACAGATAATTTTCTAAAGAACGTAGGTAGACAATAACAGCTGAGTACCAAACTTAATGAAAAGTTTATCATTGGAAGGCTGAGTTTGTGCTTGGGTAGCTGGGGGATTTTATGAAGTATTAAGTACTGAGTACTTTCAGCAATGAGTGAGTTATCTTGGGCTTGTGATAGTTTGATCAGAAGCCCTTAGGTGGGCATCTTGAAAGTTGGTGATGAGCTAGAAGGTAAAATACATTGGGGGCGCGGGGCTTGTGATAGTAGCACCAATTATATTGG